TGTGTCACAATGTAGTACAGTGTACTACCGGTAGTATGGGTAAATCCTATCCATTAATTAATGCAATGGCACCTGATTTAAATCCCCTAGGTTATACAAAATTGTTCAATTGAGAAATGATAAGGTTTTACAAAACCTTTGGCGTATCAATGGAACTTCAACAAAAGCTTTGGTGTATCAAACATGAACGTTTGATTGAAATCAAAATTAACGATAAGGTTTCACAAAACCTTTGGCGTACCAAACCTTTGGCGTATCAACATGGGAATAAACTTCATTAGGAATGAGCTTCATTTACGTAGTCACATCAAATTGTTTTATTAATTGTCGATACATCATAATTTTTGGAGCGTAGAATAAATGAGTGGTGAAAAGAACGGAAAAGGGGCGTTCTCAATCTATTTGATCCAAACAGGCCATATTTCTATTCTGAAGATGGACAAATTATTCCAGAACTACCATATCCGTATGAAATAAAGGTTGATGATTTAGTCAAGGATTTGTTATCGAAATATGAAACGAAATCACCGAAAATGTTGAATGAGTTCTTTATTTATCGTAAGGCATTTGTTCAAAAATTCAAGAAACAGAAACTTCGACCAAAGATGACACAAGTATCTTCATTGGCGTCAACATCTTGACATAGTGAATCAAATGATGTAAAAAAATGCATATAGAAAAATTGCTCGCGAAGCCGAGCAATTGTATATTAATGAAAGGAAAAGAAGACAACAGTTAAAAATAATCGATAAAATGCAAACATCAGAATCTGGTAACATCTACTTCAATTTCATCCGGTCGTCTCTAGATTAATAATAGCGGGAAACAAAAAAACTCGAATCCTAATATACTATTTGATTGATTGGTTCTTTTTTAACCGTTTAACTTTAAATGTCTTGATAGAGCCCATGCTTATAAATATTTATGCAATTACAATATTGGTGTCAAAAACAACAATAATCAAAAAAAGGAAATTGTACATATGAATAAAGACAGGTTTATGCAATAAACTTGAAATATACCGGGTGCATCTCGGTGTTCTCAAATATTTTTGAGAACACAATATATTCTTATTTGAGTTTTTTTAAGAACCTCTACTCGTGGTGATAGTGGCGGATGTTCTACCCACCCGCCCGATTCGGAAATCACGCTTTTTATCCAATCAGTGCCTGTCACATCGAACGATCAGCGTGTAACGTTAAAATTAAAAATCTTGAAATTTCTCTTATGAAACTATTTTCTGCATTTTAACAAAAAAAATTCCTTGCGAAATTTTAGTATAGGTTCTATTTTACAGCCTTACCCTTACCCTAACCCTAACACTAATTGACGGTATTTTTTTTAAAAAACAATATAAATAACGAAATCATATTTTCATTTGGGGCGGTGGGTACATAGATGTATCCGAAATATGCCCGGTACAAATCAAGGTGGTACCAAGGGGGGTACGTACGTACGTATGTACTTTAAATCAATTGATTATTTATTAAGGTGTCACCTATAATAAGAATAGTTTTAAAAACTATAAAAGAGCAACTTTCAAACATACTAGCATGTAGGTGAAGCCATTACTGGGAAATCAGAGTTTGTTAGAAGTCAAAGCAGTAGCGCATTGTTACACTGACTGCGGAACTCCCGATTTTGCCCAGAAATAATCAGTACTGCAGTATGGCCGTTAGTTACCTCCAAAGCTTTTCATATGAAATCAAAATTCATATTTTTAGCTATGTCAGAAATCCGATTAATTTATTAA